TTCAGGGCCCCAGGGAGAGAAACAGGCGTACAATGCGGGCAGTATCTAAGAGCACCGCTTTCTGCATGTTTCCCGGGAGTAAGCCGCCTAGAAATCCCAACCGTCTGAGATGTCGTTCCAGACTAGTTGGGATAAGACTGTTTACCGACAGAATGATTGGGATGATATCAGTGGATACAACCCCCACATTTCGGTCATCCCGTGAGCCAAGTACCTAGACATATTTCCTCTTCTTCTCTGTTTCGACTTTTACGAGGTTCTCGTCATGTGGTATAGTGACATCCATTATTATTATATTTTCATCTCCTCTCCTTAAGAGGGGAGATGAAATTTTTGTATTTATTGTTGGCAACTAATTCCCGGCAGAAGCACAGTCGGCCGGGGTTCAGAGTTCCAGGGAGAGAAACCCGCGTACAATGCGGGCAGTATCTTTTTTTTTAAACATTTATATATTTATTTTTTTAAAGATTGATTAAGTTCGATTCAATATTACGATCATTCCTTGGCTTATTTATTCATTTATAATTTAATTTGGTGAATAGATAGTTAATCTAGATATATAATTAGAAATAAGTAATTAAAAAATAAAAAAATATAAAAAATAAATTATATTACGATACAGCTACGAACAGAAGCCACAGGACAGGACTAGTTTTATATAATCGTATAATTTATGTAAAATAAAAATAACATATATTAGATATTTGACTGCATTTAATTGAGAACTAGACTAATGTATTTAATTATTATGCTAATTGCCATATTAGTGGAAATATTAATTAGTTTCTTTTTTATGATTGACCGAATCCGCGTATTAAAATCGATTAGCATTTAATATATTTTAAAAGGTGGCAAAATTACGCGTTATTTATTTTGTAGTACAAAATACGGAACTGGTACGTATCCTAGGGTTTTCAAATTTTAATTTTTTTATTTTAATTTTATCCCAATAATATATTCTCATCTATGATTTATCAGTATTATTATTATTAGGCATAGAATAGGCCACCCCTTCCTTTCCGGGGGAAGGGATTGTTAGTAATGTGGACTACCAGTCCCATTGCTAGCAATTTACCCTGTCAGATCGACCGCCACGTGGTTCTCCTTGGAAACCATCGTGCCGAAATCCAGCTGTATTCCTCACGTTGGGCTAACCGATCTGCCTCTCCAACGTGTACCGTTAGCACGGACGGGGTTACTATTCCATTATGATCCATAAAAAACCCCTTAATTTCCCGTAGGTGTCGTAAGAAGCGACTAAGGTAACTTAATGATCGAAAGATGTACAGCAGCGTCCCTCTTAAAACGTCGCCAAAGCCTAACTGCGGTTGCCAACCCGCCTGTCTAGCGTGGCAACTATTGGCAAAACTCCCCAATAGGAGGGGGGCTTTGTTCAGCAGTGGACAGTTAACGGTTGAAATAATAGGAAATAAATGTAATTATGTGACATTATTATTATTAATATAGTCACGATAGTTTTTTTTTTAATGGATAATAATGAAATGGTAACCCCGCCTGCTAACGGTATACATTAGCGATAATCCAGTGAGGGATGATAGGTGAGGATGAAAAGACAGGTCTATTTTTTTATACCACGACGTTGACAAACAAGCATACAGCCGTCTGATGGTAAACGGGGACTGTAGCCTACGGACGCCTGCAGCATTAGGAGTAACACGTGCGCGTTGCCGACTCTGAAGAAACCTTAATATAACCTTTTTGTAAAATCCCATACTGTAGTATCTAGGGAAATCCTCAGCAGGAAGCTCATTCTAGGTCTAGCACAGCCTAAGATTTCGCTTCGATTCCTTTGAAACCGCACTGTACGTGAACATTCAGTTTCAAGAGTGTGAGGATGAATTCGATGGAGAGCGTTGCAATGATAAAAGGTGACTGTAAGCATCATTTTAAACAATTCCTCAGAATACAATCCGTTATACTTCTAGCGGCAGTATTTCCGAACCGATACGACATCATAACCTTCAAGAAAAGAGTATATTCCTTTTTAAAAGGCCGGCAGCACACCTGCAATGCCTTTAGTGTTGTGGGTGACCATGGGCAGCGGTAATCACTTACCATCAGGTGAGCCGCATGCTCATTCGCCGCTGTGTTATAAAAAAATACAAACGGCAGAACACAAAAAGGGAGGTAAAGTCTCGAAGAAGGTACATACGTTGACGTCAAACACTGTTTTTCAGGTAATATGAAACTGTACATCAGAACGTGCAAGTGTCACCGTGGACTTCACTAATGTTTCAGCAGTCTGTATTTAGGTCAGCCACCTTATTATTTATTGCGATGAATCGCCATATGTTTCGTAATTAGACGCATTATATGTACGGTACAATTGGCAACAGAAGTGTAATCAAAGGTAACAATACTAATTTGAAATGGCAAGTTGTCTTTATATAATTATTTGTAATTTATGTAAATATTTATTTTAATTTCTGTTTAACAGTACTACTGTCCACTCACTATTTCCTATCTAAGACTTCCTATGTCAATGGGTTAGGTTGACTGGAAGAGATCTCTTTTAGAGACAAATACTGCATAATATGTATTACGTTCTCCACATCGGTATAAGTCGACAAATATCTCGGACTATAATTTTGAAAGTCGTATGGTCCCAGCAAGGCCACCCCTCCCTTTCTCGTGGGCGACTAAGGAGGGCAAGATGTGAGCAGCATTGTTCCTCTTAAAACATCTCCAAAGCCTAACTACCAAACCGCCTGTTTTTTTTATGGTTTTCGGTACAGTATTTAAGGCATCCCGTCCTCGCTATTGGATACGGGTGACGGAATGCCTATACAAGAGGGTACATGGTGGACGTAATTTAGAGGCAATGTTTGAGGAGCATTAGGAACGTACTACAGCCGAATACTGCAACAAAAAAAAAAGAGTATGTGGTCGGCCCCCGAACTGGCGACCTCTGCCAAACCGCCTGTCAAGCGTGGCAACTACTTTCAAAACCCCTAAGGGAGGAGCTTATGTTCAACAATGGTCGGTTAAAGACTGATATGATAGTGCTAAACGTATCTATTTACTCGTATTGTATTTAAATAAATTTATTCCTTGTAATTATCTTCGTGACTGTACCACGATATTTATATTTCTTACATTTTATTTGGCACACGGGAATTCTTGTTATGTTCACTTAGAGAAATTCTTACAATCTGTGATGTCATTTGTAATGGATTTTGGCGTAATAATAGAATGCGCAATCCTAATTCATTGTTAAAGACGATACAAGATTATTAGTAGATAGTATGTGTAAGAGTACGTTACTATGTTGTGATAGATATTGTAGATGCATATCGTAAACAGACAAATGATGTTTGTAACACATTGAACGATGTTCAACATACGATATTCGAATGTAAAAAATACAAAACAGAAAGAGAAGCCATATAGAAATATAGTCTACCTCCCATGCGTTGCTATTCCTGAGGACTCAGGTGTTATTCCTCTGTACCCTGTAAATTCACGCCATATCCCACCCTTCAGATCGAAACACAGCCATGCAAACACAACTGCTTCACGGTAGAAACACGAATGGGACAGTGCAAGAAACAGAGGTGGAACAGAGGTGTCCAAGCAAACGACTTCTGTACAGTCTCCCTCTGGTAGATATATATATATATATATATATATATATATATATATATATATATATATATATATATATATATATATATTGTGACAATTTCATAAATATATTCGTTCTCTTCACAATCCTAAACATATCCATACATCCTTGACATATGGTAATGTCAGTTATTTGACCTGCATCGTAAACAACTGAACATCTTAAAGCATTTTAGTATTTTATTATTATTTTAGTACATATATATGTATTTGTGTATATTTGTATATTGAATTCATAAACTTATCGAAACTAATATTAAAATATTTACATTTAGATTTTTTATTTGCAATTAACAAACTTCTGTTCACCTATAGAATACATAATTAGTGAGTATGGGCTGTATTTTATTTATAAAAGACGTGTGAAACCAGGGCAAGTCTGTAGTTTAAAAAAGCTTTTTTTTTTAATTTTAATATATATATTTGTGTATTTCAATACTGAATTCATAATTTTAGTCTTAAAAATGTTAAAGTAAATAATTTTGAGTATTTGAACCAGTCAAAGGATGAAATGAGGGAGACTTTGTACAAAAATCGATTGCTTGGGTACCTCTGTTCCATTCGTGTTTCAACTGTGAAGCAGTTGTGTTTGCATGGCTGTGTTTCGGTTTGAAGGGTGGGATATGGTGTGAATTTACTGGGTACAGAGGAATAACACCTGAGTCCTCAGGAATAGCAACGCATGGGGGGTATCATGGGCGAAACAGTATACTCTGTTATGTCCATGGTATTGCTCATGTCTATAAGCGACGGTTACCACTTTCCATCAGGTAGACCGTCAGCTTGTTTGCCATTCTAAGTTGTATAAAAAAAAATCTCTCACGAGGTCTGCATTTCTCGACCCATATGAACTGTCATCTTTCAAGGCTAAATTAAATAGACATTATTTGAGTCTGTGTGAGTCTGCATTTTAAACGACGTCATTTATACGTGGTCATGGAACTGTGGTCAGACGCGCTCTAGGTTTATAAAAAAAAAATATATAATACTTTTTAGTTTTAGATGTAATTTGTAACTGGATTTAATTTATTGAATAAAATTAAAATCAACTGTTAAGGAAAGTGTATTATAATCAGTTTTACCAAAGAAATAAGGATCAAAATACAACAAACGTGTGCATGAATTTATACTTGGCTCGAATATATCGTCATAGTCGTAGAATACTGACGGATATATCTATATACCTACATGTAATATTTGTCAGATCCGTCAGTATTCTACGACTATGACGATATCATCGTTATCAAAATGGGTGATAACGTATTTTCCACCATCAATGTCTAAAAAAACCCAATATACAAGTATCGGAATCGATACCCATATTTTTCATGTATTGGAACAAAAAATGGACTTACCACTCATTGCATCCTTGCTTCACCTTCTCTCCTGGTGGGTAGAACTTGTTATTGTACCGGCACGGCTTCGTTATCGGGTTTGGTGGTGGGGATATCCCCAGGCAGACCTCCTCGTAGTCAGGACAGCAGTCGTCGTGCACCCTCGACCGGTTGCAGAACTGGTCGCAGTAGCACAAGGTCGCTGCAACAAATCGATTCTTTACCTTATGGCTGACCTGATGGAAAGTGATCTTCATCATCATCTCACTCATTAGCCGTCCACTTCTGAATATAGGCCTACCCCATAGATCGCCATAAAGAAAGCGATGATAATAATATAATAAATGATGGAAAGTGGTAACCGTCGGAAATAGACATGAGCAGTACCATGGACATTACAGAATATACTGCACAATTCCTGAGGAATAAGTGGTTTTTTAATAGGTGATAATGGAATGGCAACCTTGTCTCCGCGGAGAGAAAGGTATTGTTAGTAATGGAGACTGAGAATCCCATTGCTAGCAATATACCCAACCAGGTTGACCTCCTCGCGGTTCTCCCTGGAAACTATCATGGTTAATTCCTGGTGAATTCATCATGATAGGCTAACTGGCCTGTTTTCATTCTCATCTATCACCCTTCACTGGTGCTCCACCAGCGTATCCCGTTAGCACAAGTGGGGTTACCATACCATTTTCGCCCATCAAAAAAACCCTGTCTCCACTATCGGTATACGCTGGTATAGCACTAATGAGGGATGATAAGTGAATATGAAAGCAGATCAGTTAGCCCAACGTGACGAATTCTATAAGAATTGTTTTCAGAGGAAGGGGGTAGTAGTTTTTGCGTGATACTGGAACAAAAATTCTAGAAAATATTTTTTTAGCATTTACTAGTTTTATTAAGAGGCCTCATTTTGATTTTTCTTAAAAATCTCTCATGTGCAGACATCGTTCAATTACTAATTTATTTTGTTAGTAAAGTAAGGAATCCTATTATTTTTTATATACGAATTTAGTAAATTATATCCTTAGATTATATAGACAGAGTGTCTCCATAGAAATGCTTCGAGAAAAACGGATCAATCATACAGTTTTGCGTGGTAAACAATTATGAATGATTCCTTTATAACTTCTGTATTTGTTTTGTCTTATAAATTATACATCTTTTTAATGCGTTATTAAATAAAGATACAATACATAAAGATTCATTTTATGCGTAAATATAATGTAATGTAATGTAAATAGGACTCTATTTTCCGCGTTTAGCCGTTGTGCCGCATTTGGGCCATTGTGCGTATGACGTGCGTAAATATATAATACATATAATAATTTGACAATTAGCTGACAAAAAATTGGTCTGTTTTTTGAGGCTTGATGTTCTATTTATACAATCTAAGGTTATATCCTAACTTAGCATATAGTATATTTTTCGTACTAATTATGGCGAAAGAAACAGCGGGATATAGCTAGTTTTAAATAAACAAATTTCTTTTCATTTCATCCTGGACCTTGGTTGGCTTGTACATAACATTTGTAATGACTGTTGCACGTCAGTAATGAGAAAATGTGTAAAACCATTGTAATATTACCATATGACTTTATTGTACCTACGACATTTTTAGCAATAAAATTCATTCATACATTCTGTCGCTTTCCAGGCAAATCTGTATAAGGCTAACAATCGAGATAGTGATAAAATCTAGACATGTTATGACCATAAATCATTAGCCAAGGCTGACTGTGTATCTGTTTGTCCACATTATCTATGTTAAATATCCGAAAGTGGTCCAGATTTGTAGTTCCAATCTTGAAGGTCTAATTTTAAAAGAAAGTTCCCATACAGAGATTTTTTAACTGATTTTTTTGTGATTTAAGCGATTTCATCGTCAGCTTTGAGCCGATTTTCGGAATACTTTTGCAATAGACTTAGTCCTCTTGGTTCCATGTTACGAGTTTACGATTACAGCTATTGTTGTTTTTTGGGAAGCAAAAGACTTTAAAGTAACTTAAACTTTACAAGAGGGAGACTTTGTACAAAAGTCGTTTGCTTGGGTACCTCTGTCTCATTCGTGTTTCAACCGTAAAGCAGTTGTGTTTGCACGGCTGTTTCGGTTTGAAGAGTGGAATATGGCAGTGAATTTACTGGGTATAGAGGAATAACATCGGAGTCCTCAGGAATAGTAACGCATGGGTATCATGGGCGAAACAGTATACTCTGTTATGCCCATGGTACTGCTCATGTCTATAGGCGACGGTACCACTTTCCATCAGGTGGGCCGTCAGCTTGTTTGCCATTCTAAGTTGTATAAAAAAAAAGCAAAATATCTATTTATTAAACTCTAATGACGGTGCAACGTAACGAGCGAATAATGAACAGTATCATGGACATTACAGAATGCATGTTGTTTTTTTTTTGATGGGTGAAAATGGAATGGTAACCCCGCCTGCGTTAACGGGATATGCAGGCGGAGCACCAGTGAAGGGTGATAGATGAGAATGAAAACAGGTCAATTAGCTCACCATGATGAATTCATAAGGAATTAACCATGACAGTTTCCAGGGAGAAGGTCGACCTGGCTGGGTATATTGCTAGCAATGGGATTCTTAGTCTCCATTATTAACAATCCCTTCCCCCCTGATAACAATTTAGATATTAAACAAACAAACTCACTTTCACATTTACATACATGATATCAGTAAGGATTAAGAACGATAACGCATGAGGCGTACCATGGGGGTCAGTGTATTTTGATGTATTATGATCGATCAGAATGCTTTCATGGTTATCTATGCCAGTTACCACTTTCTATTAGTTGGCCGTCAGTTTATTTGGCTCTCCAAGTTGCATAAAAATATGTCATGATGATACGGTAAAATACCTATAAAAATAAAATATTTATTTCTTATTGCATTCCATAATATAATTAGTAGATAACATTTCAATTATGGACCCTGTTGGCCACAGCAAGTACGAGAGAGGAGGACAACACTTTTTTTCACTTTAGAAATAGTCTAAGTCTAATAAATTCTACGTTCTTTGTTTTTTTTTTTATACACCTGAGGTGGCAAACAAGCATACGGCCGACCTGATGGTAAGTAGTTACGATGTTTGTTACTCTTTTTAAACAAGCGTGTTTTTATTTTTATAATAAGTAATTAGAGAGCAATTTCAACCGTGAAGCAGTTGTGTTTGCATGACTGTGTTTCGGTTTGAAGGGTGGGATATGGCGTGAATTTACATGGTACAGAGGAATAACACCTGAGTCCTCAGGAATGTCAACGCATGGGGGATATCGTGGGCGAAAGAGTATACTCTGTTATGTCCATGGTACTGCTCATGTCTGTAGGCGACGGTTACCACTTTCCATCAGGTGGGCCGTCAGCTTGTTTGCCATTCTAAGTTGTATAAAAAAAATGATGATATTGATTGTACAAATATTCATGTATTCAAGTAATATTTTGAAATAATATACTGTACATTTGTTTATTATCTATACATATAATAAAATTGTAGAGGTTGAATGTCTGTATGTAGAAAAAAAAACGCTAAAGACCGAGTCAGGGGGATGTTAGAAGTGAAAAAGAACACATTCAGTTTTTTCCAAATTTTGTGTTTCTCTGTCTGTTTGTAAAGGCTAATCTCCGAAACTGTTGGACCGATTTAAATAAAATTTCGCATGGTAGCGCCTTACATCCCCGATCTTCATTTTAGATGGTTTTTATCAAGGAAAATTAAAGAGTTTCCGCGGGATAGTTAAAAAATTATAGTAACTTATACAGCTTAGTACACAACCTACTTAAATAAAGTAATTTTGACCTAAGGCAAATAGTCACGTCACGACACGTCACGACACATCATTTGTTAACTTTGGCCCCTTATTCCCAGACATAATAAATAGGTAGGCACATACATCGATACATACTAAACAGGAATAACAAATACCACGCGGACGAAGTCCCGGGCATCAGCTAGTTCAAATTAAATGAAAAAAAAAAGAATCTAATTTGGTATGGATAGGTTATTTCTTTTACTTACAAAGTATCTCGTGCGAACAGCTGTCTTGTCTGTCATTGCAGCATTGACGGGTGCCCCTCTTCCCGCAGTAGGGTCCCGGGGGCAGGTCCGGACCCCAGTACCCTATCGCCACGCTCATCGAAGCCCCCACTAACAATAACAGGTTCAATCTGTAAATAAAAAGAAAACCTGTTACTCTTTCTCTTTATACTTATATTTTTTTTTATACAACTTAGAATGACAAACAAGCTGACGGCCCACCTGATGGAAAGTGGTAACCGTCGCCTATAGACATGTATAGTAGAATAGACTTTGTACAAGAGTCGATTGCTTGGGTACCTCTGTCCCATTCGTGTTTCTACCGTGAAGCAGTTGTGTTTGCATGGCTGTGTTTCAGTCTGAAGGGTGGGATATGGCGTGAATTTACAGGGTACAGAGGAATAACATCTGAGTCCTCAGGAATGGTAACGCATGGGGAGTATCATGGGCGAAACAGTATACTCTGTTATGTCCATGGTACTGCTCATGTCTATAGGCGACGGTTACCACTTTGCATCAGGTGGGCCGTCAGCTTGTTTGCCATTCTAAGTTGTATAAAAAAAACGCACAGCTAATACTTGTATGTGAGGGAGAAGGATAAGGAAAAGATTAGTAGTGGGGTCTAATGAACCCATTGCTAGCAATACAAGGTGTATTGCTAGCAAATGCAAGAAAGAAAAAAGAAAACTGACTCATTCTATACACACACACCACATGGCAACACCAAGGGGGGGAAAGGGATTGTTAGCAATGGAGTTTGACAGCCCCATTGCTAGCAATATGCTCTATTAAGTCCACCTCCACGTGGTTCCCCCTGGAAACCATCGTGAACAATTCTCGTTGAATTCGTCACGATGGGCTAACTGACCTGCTTCATCCTCACCTATCATCTCTTACTGGTGTCCTGCCAGTGTATACCGATAGCGCGAGCGGGGTTATTATCCCATTAAATCACCATAAAAAAATACTTGTATGTGTGAAAGTTTGTTAAATATGTCTGTTACTCCATCACATTTGAGTTGTATGGACAACTTTGTATCGACTAGCGGTGTCATTAATTTTAATAGTAACTACCGTTCATTGTATTGTTACTTTGTAGTATTGTTATAAATAAACATTTATGATTAATAACTCTTGCAGTAAAAAGGAAACTGTGATAATTAAGTTTAAAATTCAACAAATCTGTAATATACAGAAATTTTCCTAATAAAAACAAATTAAACTCTCTCTGCTTAATATCTTATTTTTTCGAAATTGGAATAGGAAATAATAATAATATACAGACTTTAATTGTAACAAAAAATTTTGATCTAGTAAACTAAACTACTAAACAAATTTTGATTAAATTTCTGTGGGACTAATCTGTATATACTTTTAGATAAAAAAAAATCCAAATCGGTTTAGAACCGACGGAGTTATGAGGTAACAAACATATAAAAGTACAACCGAATTGAAAACTCTTTCTTTTTGCAGCCAGTTGAAATATACTTCATATTACCTAAATCCTAAACTATTACCAAACATTCTTTCTTAGGGATTAAAAAAAAAAGCTCTTATTCATTTAACAATAATACCTAACCCTTTGCTACCGAGAGGAAATAGAATAAATAGAGATATTATTAATAGGGTCTAACTGCACTCTTGTAATATATATATATATATATATATATATATATATATATATATATATATATATATATATATATATATATATATATATATATATATATATATGTTACCCATTCCACCACCACTAAAAAACTAAAGAGCCGCTACAATGTGGGAAGTGTCCATTGTTGCTAAAGTGTATATCTAGAAATAAATGTCGCATATATCGTCATAGTCGTAGAATACTGACGGATCTTTATATGTAATCTTTATCAGATCCGTCAGTATTCTACGACTATGACGATATGTCTGAGGTACATGCGACATTCAGTCTCTTACATTTTTATTATATTTTTTTTTTTATTTATTTTAGTGACAAACTTTTGATGAATCCATCACTATGTGCCAACTGACCTGCTCCCATCCTCACCTATCATCCTTCACTGGTACCCCGCCAATGTATACCGTTTACGCAGGCGGGGTTACTATTTCATTCGCATCCATTTAAAACAAATCCTTCGTTACCTAACTCTAAGTACGTCAGCTCAGTTTCTGTAAACTAAGATCAAATAGAATTTGAATTCTAAAACGAAAGCGTTCGACATAAATTCGCCATAAATCTCTGTATAAAGCGCAATCAGTGCAATAATACGAGCGACCGCAGTATTGTTTGCGTCTGTTATCGGGTTTTCAAAGTGGGTCGTTGACGGTGTTATATTTTATTAGGAATCAATGCTTAATGTTATTTTTTTGTATACGAACTCATATAAACATCATCTTTACTAAAATAGTAGGTATGCAGTTCACCTGTAATTCGCGTTTCCCTAAAAGGCTTTCTTAGTGTTTGAATTTCTTTAGTGTTGAAATTGCTATCTTCAAACACGAACAAGAGAACTGCATATATGTATATATCATCATGATATGATGTATTTAACTGTCCACTGCTACGTTTAGCAGGCGGATTGGCAACTGCAGGTAAGCTTTGTAGATGTTTTAAGAGGGACGTTGCCGCATATTCCTATATATATATATATTGCAATATAAATACTCAATCTGGCATTTGTACAGTCATAATCTTCACAGTATATTTTATATTATCTATGGTAATTCATAATGTGTATAGGAGAGATTTACCACTCTCCATCAGGTGGGCCGTCAGCTTGTTTGCTAGTTTGAGTTGCGTAAAAATGTTTTACTTTAGCATGTTTCACTTTAGCATTTTTACACAAAAAAAATCTACTAATTTGGATATTTGTTTTGTAATTGATCGCTGTTGGTGTATTTACTTTTACATTCGACTTGCCCACACATTTTGCCAGCACAATGCTTACCTACTTGACAGTTAAGTTGAATGTTGAAAGCCAAATTTATAAAAAAAAAAAAATAAGTACTATATTCCTCTTCATCTTTTACATATTATTTTTAAATATTTATTGCCAGAAAAACACACAGTTACAACAGAAAATACAAAAATATTACATACGTGCGAAGCCGGGGCGGGTCGCTAGTTAGGTAATAATAAATATTAGAATAAGTTATCGTTGTTTAAAAAAAGAAATAAAAAAAAAAAATACAGTAACCTTTGCATCTGGTTTCCGTTTTTACTCATCGCTGTCACTTTATACGATTCGGGTATCGTCCCCAAATCTCGACACTCACAATAAATCAGCGGTCACGTAGTTAGATTTACGAAGCTCTTTGATATGTGCAAGCGTAGCATCAGTATTCGATGACAAATCATTAATAACTCTAACAGTGATGAACTAAAGTTAAAAATTGCTTAAACCTATTTCAGTTTAAGATCTCATTGACATGTTATTAGCATATAATATTTATGTTCGTGAAAGACAAAGGGATTTGTTTTTTGAATTGTTTATTGACAGAATTTTGTTTCAATAAATTATGTTAGTTACATTTATTTTTTTATTTATAAGGAAACCTTAGCTTTTGTTAGTACTAATTTAGGATTGTCTGTGGTTTTATGATCTTCGTAATGCAGTGGTAAGTTGTTTTGAGTATGTAGGTTTGATTCTCGGTTGGCTCCATTTAAGAAATAAACTTTTTTAAATTGTATCGGGTTCGGATATTCTGGGTATTTTCTGAATTTCATTGCCTGGTTTTTGGATAACCTAGGTATCCTGGCTTGAAGGCCAGTTAAAATTTTTAATTTTTTTAAGTCGATAGGAAAGATAAAAACTGTAACTAGATCGTGTTTGCGCACGAGTCATGTAAAAATCATTAATAAAGATAAATCTGTTTTATTACCATAAATATATTTCAGCAAATCGAACTCTACACTATCTCTCCTGGAAACCATCGTAGTTAATTGCTGATTAATTCACCATGATGGACCAACTAACCCACCCTTCTTACTACTTAAATAATAATATATTGATTTATTCGGATAGTCAATCGGCATTACTTGCACTTGACTTTTATAAATTAAGTCAAAGCTTATAAACAACTGCATAATGTTATTAAAAGACTTGGGTAGCAGAAATAACATTATCTTGAGATGGTCTGGTCACTCAAAAACTCATGGAAATGAAATAGCTGACCAATTAGCAAAAGAAGGGACAAAAAATGTCTAAATAGTACCAGAACCTTATTGTAGCATACCTCGAAGACTAAAGACCAGACATCTCAAACTTGAAAGCTTAGAAGCAGCAAATAATAGCTGGCTCCTGTCGCCAGGATTAAATCACTTGAAAGCCCTGATTAAAAGGTTTTTAGAAAATTACTCTAAGAAATTATTTCCTTTCAGTAAATATAATTTATGTGTATTAACAAGGGCTATCAATGGACACTGCAAACTAAACAAGCATATGGCCCAACTAGGATTATGCCCAAAAAGTGTTTGCAGATTTTGTTAGTGAAGAAGAAACGCCGCAGCACTTAATATATGGCTGTAGCCCACTCATACATAAACGATGTATCTTCTTTGGAAAACACACTGTTAATCCTGAATAAAAAAACTGAATAAAAAAACCTGATAAAAAAACGTCGCTACAAGAACAATCCTAAAATTCCCATCATTGACAGGAATTAGCAAAAAGGGCGAGCACAAAAGATCATGGGAAGGTCGTAGTGTTACAGGTTTCACAAAAAGCCCGTTTTTCAAGAGCAATAATAACTCTCCCCAATTCCATTCCTGAGATGTTATCCTGTACCTTGTAATGTCCCTTGGTATGTATGCCTGTTACACGTGTATACGGAGAGGAAGGGATTGCTAGTAGTGGGGAGGTTAAATCCCATGGCTATTAATATAGCCTATCAAGTCGACCTCCACGTGGTTCCGCCTAGAAACCATCGTGGTTAATTCTAGTTGAATTTGTCAGGACGGGCTAACTGACCTGCTTTCATCCTCATCTATCACTGGTGCCCCACCAGTGTATACCGATAGCACAGTCGGGGTTACCATTTCATTATCATTCATTAAAAAAAACACGTGTATACGGTACAATATCTATAAAAGGTTTTAAATTGTTTACATAGATTCGTTTGAGAAACGACATACATTTTA